AGTGACAGAAGTATACTTCCCAGACATCCTGTGGGTTGAGTACCATACCGTGAGCCATGAGAAGTTCTAGGGATTTGTTATTATCGTCAACTTTAGTGAGACCAGTACACATTTCTATAGTTTGAGGTATCTACGTATCAGTAGGGTGTTGTCGCGACTGTTGCCTAACAACGAAATTTTTTCAACAAACACATGGTTTTATTTTCATACATGTATTTTACATATAATATAAATGGAGGGCTCTGTGTTGCGGCACGCTAGAGGGTCTCTTAGTCGGGCTTCGACATGTACAGTCGGTACTACATGCTGACTTCACTGAAGACAAGTCTCAGGTAAGGTCTTGGAAGCTCCGTACATCGCAACACGGGTGAGACCACAACCCTCCCTGACAGCTGGAGTAACCACCAGGACGTCTCTAGTTTCCATTGTAAAAATCTAATTTCTACTCTATTGATACGTGTAATGACTTAGGAGAACATGGTAGCAGTCAAGTATTAGGAAGATTAAAAAGCCTTACTGCCTCAGTATGAAATATTTCTGAAGGTAAATGTGGAAACCTTTCATCATCACAGTAAGCACATTCTTAGGTTGTCTGCTGCAACATCCAATCGTTGTAATTCTTTTTAGTCCATTTGTAAAATCCTTGATAAACTTTCCTTCAGGTCAATGAGTAGTCTTTTTGTTTGTTTTAAATATCTTTGCCTTCTAAAATCCTGGGATTCTTTGTAATTGTTGATTGATGTGTTGTGTTATACACTCTCTTTCCTCTTGGATTGTGTGCCTTATTTAATATGTACCTACTTGTCTGTGAGAGAAAGTGGTGTTTCTAATTCAGTAAAAAGGTTGAACATTCCCCCAATAAAGTGTTTCACTCATGGACATGGCTGATTCACAGTTTGTGGTGGCTGAATGAGGAGCATACTAACTAGTCTCTCAGGTGCCTCTTACTGTTAAGGCATACTCTCAATATTTCCTTGTTTAAAGAGAAGTGCATGCCTCATTGCAGCCCAGCGGTGCTGCTGAGCACACAGCATGTTAAACAGCTACACCATAAGCATTTCTTGTTTCTATTACTTCCTCTACAGAATGCTTTATCCAACTACTATTGGAGTCTGGCAACTGTTAATATTAATTACACAGAAAGGTACAAATCAAATTATTGCAAATGACATATATATATATAATCATCATGGTCTACTCTATTGCATTTGGAACCTTGCCGTATACACCCTATTATTACAACATGAAAGCATTAAACCATTTCCCAAAACATTTCTGTAGAAATAAGCCACCATAGGCACAACATATTATCAGCGTTGCTTATAAATATAATTTATTAATTGTCTTAAAAATTCTTTCTTACACTTTGTACAGAAAACAATTAGAGGAGATAGAGAGGCGAGCATTCAACAAGATTGAGCAAGATTCATGAAGCGTGCCAGAAATAGCAAAATGGACCAACACTACCCCGCAATAATCAGATCACCCCTTATAGTAAAATAAAAATGCACTTACAAGCACAGCTCTAGGAATAGACTTCTATCATGATAACCAATGCCAAATTTGCATAGTAGACACTGCTTTTACAAAAAAGGAAAGAAACTTAAATACAAAACTTGAAACATAGAAACTCAAATCTAACTGTCCTGCTATTATGTTGTATTCTCAAATTTGCCAAATATAGCTGACAGTACACAACTGTACATGATGTCAATACAAAATATTTTGTACATACTTTGATAACTTAACACTACTTGTTTTCCTTTCAACATCACGAAGGATCGCCTTCTAGAGGCCCAACGTATGCTTTCCTCATGGAACCCCCCCTTAACAAACAGTCTGACCTGCTGTAAACCGTAGATTTAGAACGTGGTGAGGATCTGATTATGGGCCAAGTTACACAGTAACACGTTTCTTACATCTGACCATCGTGTCCTTGCGCACGTTCATCAGCATGTATTCTGCATTTGACTAAATAAGTGATGTTGATGATCAAACAGAAATACTGTCATGACTTTTGTCTGCATATTTTCTTCTGAAGGAAACTTAATGTTTAGGCTTTTATCCTCAAAACTAACATAACTCTTCCCTTTGTTTTCTGACATCAGCAGTTACATTTGAAAACATACAAAACATCCACTCCATCATTTAACCATGAACCGTTTCTAATTTGAATGATAAGGCTGTCCAAAATAAAAGACTCATCAATTTTGAGGGCTGTTGAGGGCTAGGTTGAACAACAATACGAGAGGTCAGATTTTTTACAAGCATATTTAAAAAAAAATCGCCATTTAAAATCAACATCTAAAGGTTTCTTCCTGTGTGGACAGCGACCAGAAAAAAATGAAGCCATGAAAAGGTAAACATCTGACCTTTTGTACTGATATTTACTCAGCCTTTGCCCTCTTTCCTTTAACATATCCTCCTCAGTATCTCCTCTACATACCTGATGTTCAGTTTCATATGGCGTCTCTCCATACTTCAGATTGATAGATTTTACCTGTATTCCCTTTGAACTGAATGTTCATGTTGTCTTTAACATGGTCCATATGGTTCGTGTCCCCAGGGGCATAAGAAATCTACTTAAAAGCCACTCAAAATAAGGCTGTTTTTTTTTTTACCATTTCTTCAGACACTGTTGACCCAAGTCTATGCATACATTAAAAAGCCAGCCTTGCTTCACAATGTTATGCAAAACACAAAAATATTACACTTTATATTACATACAGTCATCCCCTTTAGTTGATATCTTGATCTTAAGCTCTAATTTGCAACTTTTTCAACAAAAACACCATGAGTTGGAATGTTAGTTGCTGCAGAACATTATTTTAGATAAAGGGCAACTAACTGATATGTTACAGATGTTATCCCCCCATACAGTTCACACCCATAAAAACATTAAAATGGCATAAAAAATGAAAAACAATGTTAATGTAAGTAACACAAAATAATATTATGGTAATAAAGGTCATTAGATTGAACATGATAATCATGTATTTACACGTTTCAGACGATCGCAAATGTAAACGCTGTTATTCTTCCAAATCCACTGGAGGGTGCTAGTGACCATGATCAGCTCACAAGTGAAATCAACACAATGCACCCTGAAGGCAGACAACACAACTGACATCCTGTGATGATGAGACGCCGAAAATATGACAGAAATATATATGTTATATATATATTAGTAAATTAAAACATGATTGATAAAAAGTATATTGTGTATATTTAGCGATAATGAATGATATCAACTGTATTTAATCCATTACTACTCTGGTAGTTTGTATATTTGTATTTTAATACACTTTTCGCTCCCTCTCAGTTTTCTCTGAGTTGGACCCTGTCCAGAAACAAGCCTGACAGTCAGAAAGACTTCTCCAACTGAGGTTGTGGTTAACCACATGTGGAAACCATGGCTGGAGTTCCCTAGCCGGCAGCTTGTCTGCATCTGCATTACAGCTCCTTCCAAACAACTCGTCTTTGGGGCAAAAGGGAGTAGCAGCAAAACTTTAGAAAACTAGTAAAGGCTTGGTTTTATTTAAGGGATGCATGTAGCTAGAAGATCATTCCAGCTCTCATGCTCATAGTGAAACCTTCAAAAGGTACAGAAACCTGTCTCTTTCACACAAACATTATAAAATACTATACTGTTCATACAGTCTGCATCTTCAAGTGCGATATTAACTATGCCTAAAGAAAGACAGTTTCACAAGTCTGAGACAAGCACCCATGTTGCTTGCATCCATCTGGATTGTAATCATCTTTGGATTGCGTTTAATAATACATTACGATTAAAAGGCAAGTGGACAGCAAGTTAAGTTGCTTCCACTATGTCATCTAGACTCCCTGTTACTAGGATGATGTCCTATCTCCATGTACTTTTGAGGAAAGCCTCACACTGGATACCGAATGTATAACTTGTTATGTCAGCCAAAGATGGAGAACCCTGAAGTGTCCGGCTTGTTTCTGGTGAGGACCCTTTGATTGAGAGTCACTTGGTAACACATTCTGTTAGCGGGAAATGATCCACACATACTGTATGGACAGCAGAATACATAAAACGTTCCCTAGGAAACGATATAAAGACAACAAACTGTACCGGCGAAACATGTACAGCCAAGGCTAACAGGTGGTGAGGGATCACTTCTTTATCTCTCCTCTCATTATCTGTTCTCCATCCTGTTGGTACAGAACTACACATGCTGGCTATTGTGTGTTTCGTAGCATGTTCTATGACACGTCTCTTCATAAGACGTTTTCGTATTTCCTAAAATTAGAAGTTGCCAGTATTAAACTGTTTACACCCTGGAGGTTTAGGGGATATGAAACACAGTGGAGTTATCAAATTTAAAACATATAAATAATGAATGGGTGAAATAATATANTCGCCTCGGTCCGCGATTAATGAACCTCTTGCTGTCGTTGAGACTTCTGCTAATGTGGCGACTAAGGGGTGGCGCCAGCGTACGGACGTCGCCCTACGCGCTCTACACTCGTTGTTACGATCTTTACAAGTTGAGGACGGTATGACTTCTGACACACATAGACACACAAAATATCTGTCGCAACCTCACAACACCCCGACACTGGCCTTCCCCACTGTGATTGGGTTGTTTTTTGTTTCAGATAAGTCCGCTTTGTTTGTTTGTATGTGTGGCGCGACTTTTTATTCTAGCCACGACCGAAATGTGAATCAACGACAAAGAACGGACGAATGCAAATATCGACTTCTTTCCTTCGCCGCTCACGCTACCCGCATTGTACCTAGGAACTTCGGATATAAGGTAAGATATCTTACGCTTGTTCTCTAAGCTATTTACCTCTCTTCGATTGTGACTAATGTTTTCTCACCCGACCTTCCATCGTCGTTCCTTTTGTTCCGTGCCGACTCAGGACTCCGTCCTCGTGAGAAATCGAATCTATTCCTCTTTGTGTACCGTTCTCCGATTTGGTACTAAATTGTTTCCCGCTCCCCTCGCGTGCAATTGTACTTTTACTACCCCTGGCGGTCCACTTGTTGTCATGGAGAAGCTGCCGTCATGGCGGCCCATCTCCTCCAGCACAGCGGCCAGTTCGTTTAGGTCTCCATCGGGGAAGTGCTGGGCCTCCCACAGATCCAGGATCACTCCTGTGGGACTGGACTTGGTGGCAAAGTAGTTCAGATACCTGAATGAGAGCAGAAGGACGACGTATCTCGTTAATATTACATGACAGAATAGATTTCCTTCTCCCACCTTGTTATAGCACAAAGTTACTTAGAGATAGAGTGTGTGTTGTAGTCATGGAGTTCTGTCATGAATCAACTTTACTGTAGGAAACACACTCAAGTATACTAAAGCTACAGGCTGCAACTACAAATCACAACAAAGGCCAAATCAAAGTGTTCCATGGATCAACATCAAACTTTCTTCATGATAAAAAACATTCTTACAAAAAAATTATGATTTTTTTTAAGGTCAAATATGTAACGTGTCTTTGCAGAAGGGAAATCAAATTACTCTGAAAAGGATTCTGAAAAGCTAACAATCTCTACTTTCTCATGTAAGAAAGTAATCCCTTTTCATGTATTGTCATTGCTCTAAAAGTGAAATGTAATGTATCTTGATCTGACGTGCTCTCTTCAGAACCTGACTAACCTAAAATGTGAAAACATATTAAAAGCCCCTGATATCAGAGCATACTGTACAGCAAAACACGCGGGAAAATACCATATAACGTAAAACATTTATTGAGTGAAGGACTTGTGAAATTTGCCATAATAATTGTTTATTCTACCCATTTCAGATTATAAGAAAACAATGCATTTTCAAGTTGATTAAGAGCACCAAAATGTATCAAAAAGTCCACAGGGAGAACAGTTTTCATGAGAACAGTACATAATAAAGCTGTCGCAAATAGACATTGCATTACATCGTGGTTGTAGAGAAAAAGTCTAACGCTGAACCATCTGTGAATAAAGTATTGAAGATGCTTTCAAGTGAAAAAGAAAGCCATCAGAGTTGAATCCCATGAGGAGAAAATGAGACTTTCTGTTCCTCTGTAAATCCTGTGATGGTACTGCTGGCACACTCTGCAACTGTTTGAATACCAGAGACGTGTACATAACTCCTCTGCTCCTTTCTGTCTCTAATCCTGTACTTTCTACTAAGTTTTTTACTTCTCAAAACAACCAATAAGCTATTTTCATCACTTCCTTACTTACTTTGTTTCTTTTTTTCCTCACTTTCTCTATCTATCTGCAGTATGTGATAGGGACTGTTGTGCAGCTTTGTAAACTCTATAACTGAGATCCTGCTTTTATGCATGCATGTGCATGTTTGTGTATGTGCGTGTGTGTGTGTGTGTGTGCGTGTGTCACCTGTCAAGGTTGAGTTTGTGGGCCAGCAACCTCCAGTCATTGCCTCTGGTCTGCGGTGCATCCAGACTGCCACACAGCTTCTGTCTGATGGATAAGGGAATACGGAAAGCATTGGGTCCCACTAAGGTGGTGATATTACTGGCAGGGTCCATCAGGGACGTGTCTATGCACTGGAGATCCTGGAAAGAACAGAAAGAAACTGGTCAATTGTTGGAATCGATATTAACACAAAAAAGAAATAAAATAAACACTATAACCAGAGATGGCAAAAGCTCACATCCTTTACTCAAGTCGAAGTACAGATACCCGTGTTTAAAAATACTCTGGTAAAAGTAGAAGTACTGACTAAACTTCTTTACTCAAGTAAAAGTAAAGAAGTAGGGGCTTTGACGTACTTAAGTAAAAAGTACCCATAACTGACCTCCCTTTATATTAATAGAACAATAATGTCATTGTTAGCTAATGAATGTTTCAATGCTGAACAACGGCAACATGACAACGTTTTCATTGGTCTCTCTTGTTTAGAGAAGACCAGGAAATTATGGATACATGGATCGTGTTCAAATCAATAGGCACGCAGTGACTCTAAATAATAATGATCACACCACCAAACGCAGTAAAGAGCCTATTTTGAAAATGTAAGAAGTAGAAAGTACAGGTATTTGTGTTAAAAATGTAAGCAGTAAAAGTTAAAAGTCGTCAGAAGAACAAGTAGTGGAGTACTTATACCAGAAAAATGTACTTAAGTACAGTAACGAAGTATTTGTACTCCACTACTTCCCACCTCTGACTATAACTCACTTATCGAAGACACAGGATAACAGGGATACATGTGCAATCCACAAGAAAAGTACCATATGGATCATTTATTGTGTATCCATGTGGCAGGTGGCAACAAGTTAAATCTGTCACATTTAAATTGCAGGTATGTCCCCGTCCTTCTGGAACAGATTCTGGTCGTCTCTCTGCTTACTGCTTTCGACGTGACCAATTAGAAACAAGTCTCCTAATTAATAGAAGAGTGAAACAAACATAAAGATCTGCTTTCAATCACTCTCTCTTTCCTGTCGCTGTCGATCTCTGTCTCTTCCTAAACCTGCATTCCATTAATCTGCCACCACTGGGCTGAGAGGAGGCAGTAACCTAATGAATGTGCCTTGGCAGAAGAAACAACAACTGCCACTGTTGATGTGAATGATCACTTTTTTACTGCGTCTACTTAGCCCCAATTTACAACAGAAAGCTCTCTGCTGCTGGGGATTGAATGATGGATGCAAAGGGACATCTCTGTTTCGCTCTTAAAATAAGAAATGCTTTAAACCTGCTTTATTTCACTGTTCAACACGCAGGACGCTGCCGTCTGGAGAGACTAGATCTTTTTATTCAACGCGTTCACAAAGAGACTCAATAAATACTGCTATAAATAATAAATCATACTAGCTACTCAGCTATATTCACCATACCTGCCAAACATACCAGCAAGTATTTTGTAAGTTTAGGTATGGCCTATTAAAATAGATTACAACTGATTACTTAGAAAACTACATTTTTAACATAACTCATTTCCCAAATAGAAGTACTGATTTTTATTGTGCACTTGTTACACGGATAGCTTTGGCCCCAAAAATGCTGATTGTTTTGAAATAATTGTCTAGAAGGCGTAATGCAGTAATATAGAGGATCACAGGAGAAATTCTAGTTTAGACACTGTGCAAATCTTTGAACCTGGGAGCACAAAAAAGTGTATTTTCAGTTGGGCAATTTCCCCATGAGTATCTACTGTATATTCACCTAAAAACAAATGATAATTCCACCAGTGATCAGTGACCAATGCAGGAGAAGTACAAACTATCTGCCTGCAGCAGCCTCACTATATGCAGTCAAAAATCAACATACCTGTTTAACTAAGAGGTTAACAATTTGTGAAAAGCGTGGGAGAATTAAAAGCAGTGACATTCCGAACAGACACACACACACTGTGACTTTGTGGTTACATGGAGCAGCAGAATCAAAGAGGAGTTATTCCACTGGTGGCATGTGGCCTCCAGCCCCGTATGAATGATTGAACAGAGTCACAGAACCATAGCACGAGCGCTGACTGTCTGACAGATAGCGGAAAACTTAGTGACTTTAGGACCTTTAGTACGACGGGAATGAAGAAGTGTAGTGGAAGGAGCCTTTGTCTTCTGCAGCTCTCTAATACATACAGCCAATACCCAACAAACAGAGTGTCTGTTTAACATTGTGCATGTGGTTTTCTACAAACGTACCTCCTCCAACGTGCTGCTGAGCTGAAAGATCTGTCCTTCTCCCTCCACCTGCCGCACGCACAGTTTACAGCTGATCTCTGTGGTGGCTGGGCTCAGTCTCTCCAGGGTGAAGGTACAGTGAAGAGTTCTCTGACTGCCGCTCCACACCTGATAGAACGGGATCTCCTGGAAAAAACAGAATGGATGATATGCATGTTTTTGCAAACAATTTATAATCATGCAAAAGTGTTTGTAATAAATGTTATTATCAATGGTAGTTGATCAAAGTGAAGCATTGTGAATGTATTTTACTCTGGACCTTAAAGGCTCCATATTACACTGTTTTTCATCAATATATTATAGGTCTCAGATATATACAAAACATGTCTCTGAAGTGTTTGGCTCCAAACACCAAACAGATCACCCATTGTAGCATCCCATAATCCCCTCTGTTTCAGCGCTGTTTCAAAAGTCCCAACGTCCCTCTGCGAGATGAATACACAATGGTGCTCTAGGAGGAGATTCAGGTGATAAGGTAGGCGGGGTTACCTTGGTTGGTGATTGGCTAATGGTTACACAAGCCAAAAAATCGTTATGACATCATAAAGTGGCCAAAATCTGATCAGCTCATTTTCAGACAGGTTTTTATATAAATGGATCAGGACAAGAAGTGAGCGAATCTTTTTTCCTGAAAACTTTCAGAGTCTGTTTACACAGAGGGGACACATGTTTATGAATAAATTGGATTTTGCATAATAGGTGACCTTAAAGGTGGGGTACGTAATTTTGGAGAAACCAGCTCGAGTGTGCTAGAATTTGAAAATACACAGCCGGAAAAAATCTGCCACTTCCTTACAGAGCCCCTCCTCCAACACACACGAACGCGCACATGACCAATGAGGGCACGAGATAAGTTTGTGCACAGACAGGCAGGTAGGCCATCAAGTTATTTTAGCCGGGCCGGCTAAAAGGATTGGTCGTGCTTTTTACAGTACTACAGTACTACGGCTTCCACAGATGACATTTTTTAATGGATTTTTTGTCAAAGCACTTAAGATATTCATTGCTATCTGTGTGTTAAGAACATTCCATGGAATATAAAAAAAAGTGTATCTCGAGCCGGTTTCTCAAACTTACCTACCCCACCTTTAACTGCACAACGACAACCAACAATGAGCCATGGTGCTAGTGTGATCAAATGTATGTTACCTTAAAGGCTAAACATTAGTGTATCCTTGTTTGGCTCAAATTAATACTACTTTTAACTGTGATGTGTATGTAAAGATATTTTTCTACACCATGCATCATGTACCTGAAAGTGCAGAAGTAGTGAAATATTCCTCTCACCTGATACTTTGCGATGAGTTTGCTCTTCCAGTGTGTGTGGGGCACGTCGTGGATTGACAGTCTCAGATTATGTGTGCTGTCTTTAAAGTTCAGGGTCTTTGGTTCATCCAGAAGCTTCCCTCCCATCTGGATCTCCATCTGAAGAACCTCCTACACAAAATCACACAAAAATGCTTACAGAACATTTCCTCAACTTTTCTTCTCTCATGCTCACTGAACGATATGTTGTCACCAAGCATTAGAGATTGCAGAAGGCTTTTATTTTGTCTTGTGAAAAGGCAAAGCATGTTGAATGTTGCATTTAAGTCCACAGCAACATGAAACACAGGAACGTTTTTATTAGATTACCATAACAGACCCCAGCATAGCTCTGCTAACTGCACTCAACTACAAACAGACATTAAGAGGCAACATATAAACCTTGATTATTAATGCACCAAATGTCAAAGTACTGCTTTTGTAAGATGTGGGAAAGAAGCATATATTTAATGTAAGACATTTACATTTAATTACATATATTGAGTTTAGAAGATGACTTCAATCCACCATATTACTTATAAAAACAATACCTAGAAAAGTAATGATTGACTGACAATTCCATAGCCTATTTGTGTCTTTCCCATCAAGATTAAGACTTATCCTTGTGCACTTCCTTTATCATTGTAAGAATACTGTAACCACCTCACTCAGAGCATATTCTAAAGTTGATTCACTGTTCCTAATGTGGGATTCTGTTTGAATTCAATATCTTCAATTTCACCACATGAAAAACATAATCAGTTAAAGCAAAACTGATCCTGCCCATTCGATGTCTGTGCACATTTTGTGAACCAAAGGCAGCACATTTTACTTTGCTGTGCTGCAGCTGTTTCAATAATACATTGCACACACAGTCCTGTGGGGATCTCTTCTCATTATTTTCAAATTGACTTCTGTATATCAAGTAAGCCCACACTGAGAGAGTACTAAGAAAGTAACTGCGACCCTACAAAAGCATAATGCTAAACACATATCAATTTACCATATTTAAAGGCTTGTGAAACTGCACATATACACTAATAGGAATTAAAGAAACACAGACACAAACACTGATGTAGGAATACGTTTTTCAGTATGACTTCTGATGCCTCCTACAACCTTTTCAAAATAATCAATTCCTCCTTCCCATCATCTTCCTACACAGCAGATATACGGCAGAGACTTCCCCTTTGAAACACAAACCGATCAATTATACTACACACAGCCTCCATCATTAAAAGAGCCACCTCTGAACTTTGTGTTCAAGCTACAATTGCTTGTTTGAAATGGTGAAAAATGAGTGTGTGTAGATATTTGCGTGAGCGTGTGCATGGCTGTGTGCCACGCTGACACTTGACTTATCATTGCATGCATAAATTACCAATGTTAATCTCCCGTATCAGATGGTCCCTCCAGTGCTTAGAGTTTGTTTGAATTCTAAAGCGTCGTTATTCTGACATTGCTTGACCCTGTTTTGTTTACTGCTTCTCAGCTCTCTTCCAGAGGACTAGAGGTGAGAAAACTTATATTTATGACTCTGGGATAACTTTTATTCAAGCTGTAATATATTGCATTTCAAATGCAAATTACCAAGGAACTGTTTAAGCATGGGTGGTCCAAGGGAGAACTAAAATCCCTCACGAGACTATTGAACACAACAAAGCCCTCAACCTCAAATATCCCATCAATATTTCATACAATCACTGTTATGCATTGTTAAAGCATTTATACGGCATTCTGTGGCCACATACTGTATATAACATGTCCAAACAGGGCCATCTCACGCATCACAACCACAATAGAACTGGACATCACACACCCACTCGATCAGTACCTCCCCCTCTGCGTAGGTACAGAATATCAAAATATAAAATGACTCACTTTGAAAAAAGCTTGATTCCTGCAGCCATTGGTGCCTTAAGGCCTCGCTGAGTGTAACTGCCATGTGTGTCTGTTGTTGTCTCTGTTATTGTTTATATAATGTATGTATATTGTGTACATGTACAGTGCTGTGAAAATAAAATCTCCCTGGGGACAATACATCTAATCTAATCAATCAATCAAAGTAAGGACATGTGTGTGGACAGTTTGGGTCAGAGATGTAGTACAAACAAAACAGTTGTTAAATAACAACTAAACAAAACTATTTCCGGGTTTGATTCGAGCAGTTTCAACATTTTACCTTGAGTGAATCCTGTGTGTCATCCAGGCAATAGACCCTGATGTGATAGTCCAAAGTGGTGCAGCAGACGGGTCCAAAAACAGCCAGTTTGAGCCTCTTGGCGGCTGCCTTGCAGATTGACTGCCCCACCAGGCAGTATGTCCCCAGTGTCTCTGTGAGGATGTGACATGCCTCAGAGTCCATCTGGACATAGCAGGGGGTGGTGAAGTTTTCCTCTCCCACTATAACCACATCCTGCAGAAATGACACAAGCAAACATATTTTTAGACTTTAAGAGTGTCATGCTGGGTCCATGATGGGCAGCTGAGACTGGCATGTTGTACATTTAACATGTGACTCTTCCGTCCTCTCAACTGAAGAAAGATCGAGAGCATTTAAGAAAGACTGCCTTCAAAAACAAGTCTTTACTTCTTATCACTGCTGTATGATAAGTATATAGAATTATTTATAATGGCCCTAAGTAGCCTGACTATTGTTTGATCTACTTCCTTGCATGTTCGCTATTGTCAAAGCAAACTCCAATGTTATAAAATCCAGGGAAAATTCACAACCTTTGTGACAACACCAATTCTGTTTGAAAACATACTTTCATCAACACACGTTTAACACAATATATATCCTTGTGCTGAAAAGAGAAACCGTGGAAATGTAGAATATTCTGAGTTTACACAGGTCATTTTGTTTACCCCTTTTTTATTTGGAAAGAGCCTTTATTTGTCGGTGCAGACTGCTTTTAGTGAAACGTGGGCATTATTTAAATACTGCATTTATTTTTGGGATTAAGCCACATTCTGTTTGTTAACATAACACAACCGGACCAGCATTTGGAGCCATTTTCCACTAATGCAAACAACACCCGAATAAACAGGCTGTGGTTTCTAAAGGAGGCTTTCCACTGTTGTTACAAACAGGTATTTGTCTATGCAATGCCATTACTGATGTGTATAGAGATAGCTCTGTAGATATAAACTATTTAAAAGCAGAAGAAAGCCCAACCGCAAATGTTAAACCACTTTGACTTGTGGAACTTTTGAAGAGGATAATCACTGTGTGACTCGGATTGAGAGTCCAGTCAAGGTTCAAGGTTCTTTATTGTCAAACTAACATAGCTACTGAGTAATTATGTCATTGAAAATGTTAGGTCACAGGCTTCTCCAACAATCGGTCATTCAACTTAGAAAACCTTTAGTAGAATTTAGATTCACCACATTCTTTTATTTGTGTTGAGACACTGAATTGAAATGTTAACGCATTTCTGGATGTGAATATGTCTTTTGAAAGTAATCAAGGTGTCCATTAAGAGAATGATAACAATTGCTTGGAGCTGCCATCTGTGAAGTGTATCCAATCCCACTGTGATTATCTGCTGGCTGCTGCTCATGTCATTTCTACAGCTCTCTGTCACAGCCGGCGTTACGCTGAATCCATAAGGCTGTTTGGGTCGAGTGAGGATGCACAGGCTCTGTTCTTACCAAATGATTAACTAGTTGTGCACATATTCATGTTTTCTTGTGTGACCGTGAGTCATTGTGTGTTCATGTCTGTGGAAGCAAACGTGTGTGATACAATTATTGAGCTTTAGACAAAGTTCATGTGGAGTTGTGTTCCTGCAGATGAGCAAGCCGAATCAATACAAGGAGGTAGAAAAAGCAATATTGTCAATCTGTTATTACTGGTAATCACAACTGTGGCTGCTCCCCCATGATGTGAGCGGAATTCAATTACCTTCTTCTCCCTGTTTGGTGGAAAACTTTTTGATGGGAAATGGATGTTGTACTGCAATAAGAGAAAACAAATCGACTTCCTGATGAAATTCCACTTTTCATTTTTCTCGTCTCTAGCCACTTTGCACCCGACCGCTTATCTCTCTCTCTCTCTCTCTCTCTCTCTCTCTCTCTCTCTCTCTCACTCACACACTGACAACACACACACACACACACACACACACACACACACACACACACACACACACACACACACACACACACACACACACACACACACACACACACACACACACACACACACAGATTCTTATGCATGGCTAATTGTGCAGAGACATTGTGTTAAGCTGTGATAAGCAACAGAAGACAGCATACGGGAGCCTTGTAGACACAGTGATGCTGCAAGACAGCCTTATCACCGACACCCACACAAACAGCGATACACACACATGCACCCACACACAGGCGGAGAAACAGAAAAACAAGCACTCATACGCGGCCACGCACACACAGGAACAGATTGCTGAGGTAGAGACTTCATGCTGAGAGACTTGGGAGGAGGGAGAAGGGGAAGACTAGAAAAAAGGAGGGATAGAAACACATAAGAAGAAAGATGAGAGAAGAGGAGGATGGCAGGAGCATTACAAATTGCTTCTGATAGGAGTCTTCAACCCCCTGCTCGTCTGCTAGCCTGTAGGCACTTTGTGTTTACTGAATTCTCTCCCTTTCCTTTCTTTCCCTCTCCCTCCTTCCCTGCATGCATGGATGTGTAATGCAGGCTATTCTTCTGGAGGAAGACGATAAAATATGTGTGCACGCATGTGTATTTAAACTGTGTGAGTAATACTGTGTACATGACTGTGTATTAATGATTTGGTTATGGCTGTGTGCAGGTGCATGGTTATTTTGTCTAAATGCATTATAAACAGACTTCCCTATGTCAGGATTATTTAGCTGCTGCGCATGTTGGTGCATCTAAATGCATCGCTTTGAACACTGGCAAAAAAGTAAAAGCTGCTTTCCTTTGCCAGCTAGTTCAGAAGTTGCACATTATCGGTCACTAAAAACAGAGGGACAACAAATACAGTGTTGAACACCCACCTCCCACTCTCCCATGGCCAGTTGGTTCCTCAGCTGTATGAGCCAGTCTTCCTGGACGTTGTCGGCACAGTGGTGGATGGTGAGGATTACCGGTCTGGTCAGCAGGGCTCCTGGAGGTCCACAACTCACCACCGGACTCAGCACCGTCTGGATGTCCTCTACTGGGGGTCTGGAAAAGTCAGATAATGCAGAGGAGAGATGATTCCTCAGAAACGAGCGACACGAAGGCTGCACTGTTGCTACCAGTTAGTGGGATCATCAACGGCAATCTGTTGTATTCTTCATAATGTTCATATATGAAAACTCCTAACAGATCAGATAAGAGTAGCACAGAAAATCAATCAGAGGATGATTAGTGGAGTCAGCGGGGCTGCAGCTGGAGTCAGTGGTTCACTGATCATGAGCAGAAAATAAATGAGTACAGGCTACTAGCTCTCCTGCTTTTACAGAAACCTCAAGTATAAGAACCTCAATTACCTGCTTACTAATGTATCTTACAATACAGCAGTATGTGTGACATAGTAAACTCCAGTATTTCAGTATTTTATCATCTATAATTATTAGATATATATCACTGATTGACATAATAACATAAATAACACCTACAGAGATACTGGGCATTAAGGATTTTGCTGGGAGTCAAGTGTATATGTGTATTCATATAATAATAATAATAATAATAATACTTTTTGACATATCTATTGTTATTTGTACGTTTGTTTTCATATACATATAAAGCAAACCCGCATTCTCAAACAGTAGATTGCATATTAAAATAACCAACTCATTTTCTTCTCTCATGTTGCTGAAGATATCTATCGTCTGGGAAAGAAGCCCAGATGATGGATCTTAATTTCAGCAGTATTATTGATTTGACAGTTGGAGCTCATTATTGACTCATGATGGGTTCACATGGGTCTGAGAAGCCCACAGATAAAACAGTAGGATTCAAACCCACCCGTTGACTTACCTATGCAGGGTTAGGGTCAGCCCTTAATGCAATGCAGTTGTATTGATTGGTAAGGTTATGAATCTTGTTTCATACAAATGGAATATACATGTTGTGTTGTGTCTGCATGGAAACACACACCTGATCATTGAATCTTTCTGGCTTGCCAAGTGTTACTAAGGCAAGTCAATGAAGCTATGTGATTTTGCGAGGCAGCTATTGACTGTGAGGAAGACAGAGGACATAGAAGAGGTTTGACTCTGAGAAATACAGTAGCACACTGCAGGGAGCCTAAGCCTTATTGACTGCTATTGATTGGGGATAAGCTAGAAAGGATGCATGGGATAGAATACATGAAGCAAAGTGTAACAAGCGTCCTAAAGCTCTGTGCCTGGCTGCATAAACTGCCTTGAGTTTCAAACCCAAGGGTGTCCCTTAAGCAAAATATGACATTAAGCCCAGTGGCTAATTTAGAAGTGTCGCTTGAAGCCTTCGAGTTTAGACCAAGGTTTTAATGGTGCACCTCATATACTATTGCTACGCATCACTCACTTTAAAGTCACTTGTCAATCTTAGTGTCAGTTATGGTAAGCTTCTTCAAAAGGGACAAGAAAGATCAAACTAAAATAAATCCAAACTGGACAGACAAGAAACATGCAGTTCTTCTCCAAAAATGTGGTATAAATATAATATAATCATTCATTTGTATAATATAATACTAAAACAAAGATTTCACGATAGATTGACAATCAAAATGATAATCTGTAAAACGTTGAATATCACTCATAGTGTCTAGTGGGTTTCCCCTGTCCTGAAGAATGTCTGTTGGTTTCTTCTACAAACAGTGTCCATAAAGTAAGGTTATAGTGGATAATACACAAACCGTTCCGCAAACAGTTTTCCAATGGAACTTTAATGTAATAATAAAAATGGCAAACTAATTCTTAAAAGAGATGCTGCTTTTGAATGATTAGTTTTCCTTTCAGGAACAAACAAAATTCACTTCCATTGTACTTGGGCGGACGGAGAAATCTTGGAAACATATCTGACAACCAAAACAAAACAAAACCAGTTGTACAGACTAAAATCATTATGTGAAAATATATTTGGCTCTAAAGACAACATGTGACAGAAAACATACTGACTTGTCTCTTTCTCTCTCAACAGTATGATAAATAAATGAATATATATGTGGCTATTTATGGTTACCTTTGAATAGAGTGCCGATATTATCTCTAAATTAGCTTTGAATTAATAATTATACGCTGCTGGAATATAGACATTTTCTCTCTTGTCTCTCATGTCGCACTGAGAGCTTTGCCTCATTGATGCACAGGGTTTGGAAGTAAAGGATTATAGTACATGTAACAGGATTATAGTAATCCCAAAAATAACCACTAATCTGTTAGTTAGTGTGGAAACAGCAATCTCTTTGCCTATGCTGTCAAAAGCTTGGTGTTAGTTTTTTTCTTTGCAGTTAACAAACATTTCACACATCTAGAAATGATGGCTGTTATGCGCTTTGGGTAATCACACTGACTCTTAAATTACTCTAAATTAAACAATATTGATTCACTTAGATCATTATGTGGATTACTGTGCAGATTAATATTTTAAGTAGGCAATAACTAATGTGTAAAATCCCTTATAATCTTCTCAACATTAATTATTGAACCAATATAAGAAAGCTGTGGTATTAGCTGACCTCTGGTAGATGAATCACCAAAAGAATGTATTCACAGATGCACTATTCACTATAAATACTAATTATTCATCCACTGCTGTGCATCCTAGGACCCCTTGTCACACTGTACAAATTCTCCACACACAAACATTCAAACAGGTCTGAGAAGTGAAGACAAGAAAAAATAAGAAAATAAAAGAAAAAGAAAAAGAACATAAAAAGAGATGAAGAGATAAGAAGAAGAATGGCAACAACAGAGAGGAACGCAGAGGAACACAAAAGCCACAGAGAAGAAAAGTGAGGGTAAAACGTACCTCAAGCTGTCCTTTCTGTGCACAGTCACATACATCTCGTAGACCCTCCCCTGAGGAACAGCCCCCGCTGGAACCAGCAGACTCACACCTGCAGGAAAGAGGACAGGGAGAGCAGGAAGGAGGGAAGTGGAAATAATCAGTTTCATCCCTGGATTTATACATTTCAACATGCACAACTGAATTATTGAATGTGCAACCCATTATCATTTCATCATTATGATTAATTATTGAATCATCATTTTTAAAGGCAACCTGTGATAAAACGTTCTCCTAAATATATCATCAAGTGAATTGTGGTGGCTTCTAAGAGCTGCTCCCTATCAGCAGGTTACATTATTCATTATATGTGTCTGCACACTGCTTTTAAATCCTACCATAAGTCTACTGAAAGTATTTTTTGTTTTACAAGGTAGCATGAGAACATCTCAAGGTTGTTTTGTCTTTTGTTTAAACTTGACTTTGCAGGATTGGTCAACTTTAGTGCAGGCAATGCATTTCATCTTCATTAAATCTACAATACCTATTTACCTATTTTTATTTATGATAAACTTTGATGTCATTCTTACTATGTAGGCTATAGATGTTTAGGTTATGTCATTGTTACTATTTGTGTATATAATCAAACCCAAATCTAATTTGCACTCTCTTGCATTGACTCTGTGCCACCTTTAAAATTGGCCTTAGGAGTCACCGCTGGTTACTGCATCTTCATTAGACAGTTACCAGATTCATGTTAAGTGTGTGTAGAAAGTCTACCAGAGTTGGGGACAATGAGGTGTCCTCCCTGGTTGTTGAAGGATCCGTGAGCGGTACAGGAAGGGTCCCGTGTTCGGGCCAAGCTCTGGTTGCGAAGGTTCATGGTGTCGCTGTTATCCAACAGAGACTGAGTTACCTAGGAATAAAAGACAACAGTCTTAATGTCAGAATTAAAGGGAAACACATGCTTTTTCAGTATTGGGAATGACAATCTCCAATAGATAATGGAATGGATAAAGTTATTTAAATAAAAATAAAACATTACACAGGGTTAGGACTAACACAGTTACCAAGCAGCAGAGAGGCATTAACCTTAGGAATCGTGCAAACATGCTATTGCAAATTTGTTTTTGATAATGGGTCATTGAGAAAGTCAATGGTTTGTTCTGTTAGTGTGCTTAGTGAGACTTATAATGAGGTCAGGCATTAATCACAGTTACACACTGCATCCTACAGCATGTAAAAGCAAGATGCACCCCTTAGGCCGTTCACACCGCAGTACTTTTCCCACTTTAGTTCTGATATAGTTCCGAAATGTTGCGTTCACACCAAAAAGAGCCGGAACTAAAATGAGTTCATCAGAACCTTTTTGACCCCCTTTTTCCGTCCCTGCTAGAGAGCAGGTACTTTCGTGGGAGAAAAAGGTTCCTATGTCTGATTGGCTGGGAGGAATGCAAACCACGCCCCATAAAACTGCGAAAAGGTTTTGTGAAGCCGTCATTTTATTATCCTCGCATTAGCATTATTAGTATTAGCCCAGCGCACAAACGCAGAGAGACTAACTTATGGCAACACAAAAGAAAACATGGGAGCGGTGGAGATGAGGAGGTGTCGGCGTTCTGGCGATTTACTCGGAAGGCTTCAGTAGAAGCAACTGGGAGTCCCAGCAGCTTCTACTGAAGCCAGTCCCCAACTCTGGGGACTTCTGGCCGGAGACTTTGGGTGACAGTATACGTCGTGAAGTTGTTTGCGGCCTGCCAGTAAACCCAAGGCAGAAGAAGAAGAAGTGACGTAAGCGGCTTCTTTTGCGTAATCTTCCCTCAGGAACTTATTCCGGTGTGAACGCGATCTGTACTTCATGAGAACTAAAGAGTTCTCATGAACTAAGCTCTCATGAACCTTTGTGGGAAAAGTACTGTGGTGTGAATGCGCCTCTTGTGTGTGGAGGCTGGAAGACCAGGCTTCCATTCTGGGGTCCAGAGAAGATTCACTAAGCAAGGCCAATCTCTGGTTGTAAAGGTCATTGTAGTTTTATTTTTGTGCCATCATTGCCAGCATTGGAATAGGAATATGTTAATGCTCTCTATCAAAAATTATTTCCATGCATTTGCCTAGCTGGTGCCTTTTATTGTCATTTTCTCCTGGTACCAATCAAATCAAATGCTAAGCAGACAATGCGTCTAACTACAAGTGCTGTCGCAGGGCTGAGCAAAGAGGGCGGATTTAAAGTAAACCTATGAAACCACCTAAGGGTAAGAGGTAATATATTACGTGTTTTGCCTTTCCCTTTCCAAATGTCCACTGTGAGTTGTTAAATAAGTATTAAACATTCAGTAGTAATATTCTCAAATTCGCGAGGGAAAGTCAATTGGGTGGTCCAAAAGTACACGATTAACAACACCAATTGTAACAGAGAAAATGATCAAATAGAAGTGCCACTGACATGTGAAGCTCAAAGATAGTGAGTTCAGCGCTCATACCGCCTCAAGACAGGTGCAGTGATGAAACAGAGCCGTTTCATCTGCATTTGTGACAAGTGATTCTCGTATGCATGCCATGTAGTAGACAGAGCAGAGGGAGGAAACTGGGGCACTGAGCTGCATGTATACTAATGCTGTTTGCTTTTGTATTTATGTGCCTGGGAATACATAGTGTTTCAGAACTCTATGCTTCAGCAGATCAGGAGGAAATATTTCAAAATCCTACTGTTAACTGTGATGATTATGATTATATTGACTGTTTATGTTTTTTTTAACTCATGTTCAATGCCTTGTTAACATGCTATTGTAACAAAAAAATCTTACAATATTGAAATCATACAGAATACTTTTAAGTTAAAAATTAAAGTGGATGAAGGTTACTGACGTTAGACTGAGGAAGACTCTCATTACCTTAGGAGATAGTTTGGATGTGAAGTCCCCCCCGAGGTCATCCTGTGGTGTGACCAGACCAGAAGAGTTGTACACTTTGATCTTTAGGTTGGGAAGAGGATCCAGCAGAGGGGAGTTGGTCATTGGGATTTTATCCGAGACATCATGGAGAGCGTATACTGGACCTCGATACATGGCAGCTGCATTTGTCAAGTCAGGAGGAGCCGTCAGTAGATCAGCTGGAGGGATAAAGTGGAGAGAGAGCAAGGGACATGGTGAAGGGAAGGAGAAATGAATGAGAAAGAACAACTTTAATAGCACTGCCAGATTGTTAAACCTCAACACATGGCTGCAGTCTCGAACAGATGTAGGGGACTCGTAGATCAGTTAACAGGGATAACAGGAGTAAGATGAGAGCAGACGAGGCTACTGATAAGGTATCAGTGACAGGAATGATACATTACAGTACACAGGGGCATGACCCGGATCTAAGGCCGGTCATGGCTGATAATTAACTAACTAATTAATGAACACTGGCAATTGTTAGGACTGATCTATTTGGGCTCAGTTCATTCACACTTATCCTGTTCTACTCGATGTGTTACACAAAAAAGGGACTTACATGAGACCAAGAGTATGTTGATTTTATAATGCAACTACCTTCTTATACCTTTTTACATTGCTTCATTCTTTTGGCTCCTAACCTTTCTGACTTAAATATAGTAGGTACCGTATATATATGAGGTCTTGATGTTTTGCAGAACATTCTCAATAACACACAGTATTTGTAATCAAGAAGCTAAAAACCTTTAGCAGCAAATTCACACTTTAACAACAATGACTTCATTTTAGATTATTTCATCTAAATGTAATCCTTACTTCCTTCTGGAAAGATGCTGCAGCCAAGTGCTACTGATTGTAATAATAACACATTTGGCAATATCAACAAAAGTAAATCCTACATACTGTATGGATTTACTATAAAAAGACGAAAGTGATTATGCTCCGAGCAAACCCCATAACACAACAAGGTCAGTCACTCACATTCTAGTTTTGTTATTCTACCATAACCCTTTTTGGTTTAACACAATTTATTCTAAGGCCAGACAAAACATCTAAAGTGTTCTCCCCTTCTTGCTTCCACCAGAAAATCCAACATGTATCTGAGTTTTAATTGGAAACAGGACCATAGGAAGGCCAGTTACCTACTGAGAACAATTCCACATTTTTTCACACCAGAGCCTGAAATCCTGTTGTTCCCTCCACGAGCTCATCTATTCTAATTTTGAAATCCACACACACACACATCTGTCATCCATCATTCTTTTTCTCTCTCTATCACAAGGCTGTTTACCCTTAAAGCCAGTGGGTATTCCTGCCAAATCATCCCTGCTGAAATGTAATTAACAGCTAACGGAAAGCCACAGAGTGAGAGAGAGAGCGAGAGACTGAGAAAGAGAGAAATAGTCAGAGGGTGACAGAGCGAGGGTGATGCAGGGACATAATTCTTCATTAACAGTAATCTTAGATGGCCCCTTGACGAAGAGGGACAAGCATCCTAATGCTTTCCTGATAAAATGTCACCCGATTTCTGCTTATTCGAAGGCATTCGCCCTTGTACACACACACATGCACAATTATTTTAGCTTGCAGTTTTTTGTATTGCTGACCACATACAGCAACCTATTAAGGTTTCCTATAAAAGGTGTTCAGAGTAGCACCATATTGTTTGCAGATGTCACTCANGTTTCCACTTGTATGGGGTGAAATAGTGACTTAGAGGGGAGGATCACCGTCCCCAAGGTTTCCCAGCGCTCTGGGGCTCACCCCCAGGCGTTCTACTAATGTTTTTATTTTTTACCCTTTTTCTTTTTTAATTAAAAATAAAAAAATAATAATATTATATTGCAAACGTATCTGGTAAAAGTCCCGGCCTGATGGTAGACATTTAAGGGGGTTGTCGAGGGGAAAACTGTTAGGGTGACGCGGTCACAAAAAGAGTGAAAAAGTATGGTTCCATGGTGAATTGATTATTTTTTGGAGTACCTGGTGGATTGGAGGTGTTTATAGGTTTTTGTTATTCCGGGCGATGGGTAAGGTCGTCACCCATATTGGTTTAATGTCGGATTTTACTTGAGTTTCGAATTGGAAGAGATATAGCGGAGCAAAGTGTGTAATTTAGTTGTTAATGTTTTGTCTTAAACTATATTCGTAAACAAGTTTAACGTTAAAATTTTTAGGAGAAAGTCCAAAAATGTTGGAAATAATACTTTCACATCTGATGTAATAATACCATCATAATAAAATTTGTTGCTCCAAATTACAGGGGCTCGGTTTGTCTAGTGATCTAACGAACCGAGGGACTCTCTATCGTTTTATGTGGCGTACATCATGGGCTGTTGGTTGGAGGCGACACCTAAAAGGTTTTGGTATATTATTTTTGATACCAGCGTCTGGGTTCCAATTGAGGAGGACTCCGATCGGTGTACAAGACCAGTTTTTTTGATTTTTATTTTTTTTTTTTTGCAAATAAGGTCGGTTTGTGTCGGAGAACTAAGTAGATTGTCTGAAGTACGTTACGGAAGTAGGGGTCTATGATTATAATTATGATTAAGTAGAGTGGATTTGTGTTAGATTTAGAATAAAAAGTCGTACCTTTTTTACAAGTATTTTATGGTAGGGTAACAAAAACAAGATAACGGAAGAACCCTTTAGAGGATTTTTGTGTAGGCAAAAAGATCTTGTTTAATGTTTAGCGATTTTTACCCATTGTTTGTTGGGCCGGCCGTCTGTATGTCCAGAAGGACCCGCCCACGGTAAATACTAAAGCCCAGGGTGGGGCTTTTGAATGTAAAGGGGCCCTTTAGACTTAACAGTTGCCCCATTGCCCCGGAGAACAATCTGCGAAGCTCCTCTTAAAGACGAGTTGCCCTTCCCTACTCCCTTCCGGCGAGCACTTAAACAAAAATGCCTTTCCTCCCCAAAAAATCCAACGGTATATTCCGCAACTGCCTTAGAAATAATATCGCGACGTAGGTAACAAACCAATACACCCGTGTACCACATTGCGACCAACGGTTAAACCCATTTCGTACGTCCCGGTTTGAACTCCTGCGGTGTCCCCACCTCACTCCCAATCGTTAACTCTCTTTCCCTCTCTCTCTCTAACTCGCTCCGAGTGTATCTATCGCCCGGTCGCCAGACCGAATCGCGTGTCTCGGGCCTCAAAAACACTCCTCTCGGGCCGAAAACCCAGGGTACAAGAGAAGGGTTTTTATATAACTAACGGTCGAGGGGGAACAGGGGACCCCGTTAGTCAATGACAAACCATTCATTGGACTTAAAGGAAGGATTACACGGACGGACGTAGGACCGCGACTCAACGTATAAGAAGGTACTTTGGGTGAAGGAGACTATAGGTAACCAACGTCCTAGTTTATATATAACTTTATGCGTTTTGATTGGATCGTTTCTCATTGACTTGTCCGGACGGAACACGGCGTAGAGGTGAGTTTTTGGGGTGTGCTAGGTTGGGTCGCTTTTTTGGTCGAGCGCGGTCGGAAATTAAGTCTTAAAAAGTTCTTTATGTTATTTATTACTATATTTGATTGGAAGTTGTATCAAATTTTGTTTTATTTATAATCTGTCTCGGGAGTGTTATTGTGTATTTGTATTATTATTTGTTAATTGGTTTACAACACATAAGTCGGGACTAATTTTGAAGGGGGGGGCCGCCTGTCCCCAGGCGGTCAGAGAACCTAAGACAATAAAACCCCAAGCGCCCGGGAATTTTCAAAACCCTTGGGGACAGGGATCTCGTGGTAAACTCAAAGGGAAACCATTGTGTTTTAGAAGAGAGTCTCCCCTGCTACCCCTTCCCCAGAATAAAAGGGTAAGATTGTCATTTGTCTGTTCTCTTAGGGTCGGGTGAAACCTTTTAGTCCGACTTTGTTCCTCCCCCTAATACCCTCTGACAAAAACATATATAGACCTGGATAATTATTATAACTGCATTTTTTGACATATTATTCCCCTGGGAAATTTATATTGTTTTTACAATATAAAGCCTTGGGACCAAGTATTTTGTAAATATATGTTTACGTCGGCACTAATGGTCTTCAATTACGGGTTGTCGAAACAATTAGCTGTGACTAGGCTAACATATTATGACGATCCTATTTTCTTGATTCTCTACGAACGGACACAATGGGTCGGTGTATTAATCGGAAGACCAATCGTCCGGATGGTATTCGATTACGTTACTTCACATTATTTACATCCGGATTATTATTTATACTTGAACTTAAAACGGTTTGTCCTGTTTACAATTTATTTTTTCGTTATAAATTGGGAAAATCCTCACAGAAGAAGTGGTGTGTTGTGGTTTCTCTTCATGGTCATATCAAATAAGAATTTTTTAGAGACTGAGATAACCGGAAAATTTAAAAAAAAAAATTATTCGTTTCCTTGTCCGAAAGTTAAATCCTGGTTATTGACTGTCATATTCTTCTCTTTCCAATGTTGTACAGGTAACTCGGTCGTAGATCGTGACAAGAACCGCTAACGTAAAATTTTCCATGTAGGTGTAGCCCAAAGTCGGAAACAAGGGCCCACCACATTTAAAAAAAAATTTTCCAATCGTACTGTTACAGAGTACCAACTATCGTCGGTAAAATCAGGCCGGAAAACGGTGGACCGACAATATTCTGAAATCTTTTGTAGTGTGTTCGGGGCTCGTACGTGTTGTATGGACGGAATGGGTTCTCAGGAGACCCTAGGAGGAAGTTCCTTCTGATGTACATGTGGTTATGGTCGCTATTGTTCCGTGTCCGGCTGATTACGGACGGGATAGTGTACTTGTAACCAGTTACGATGGAATTTTTTATGGTGTGGGGCTGTTTTCGGACTTTGGCTCACCTACATGGAAATTTTACGTTACGGTCTTCTACGATTCTACCGACCGAGGTTAACCCTTGGGTACACATTGAAGAGAGAAGTATATGCCAGTCATAACCAGGATTTAACCTTCGGGACAAAGAAGAATATTTTTTTTTAATTTTCCGGTTATCTTCCGGGCTCTCAAAAAAATCTTTATTTGGATATGACATGAAAGGAAACACCAAACCAACCAACTTTGCTCTGGTGAGATTTATCCAATTTATACGGAAAAATATTATGTACAGACAAACCGTTTTAAGCGAATGTTAATAAATAATAATCGGAATAGTAAATATGTGAAGTAATCGGGTAATCGAATACCCATCCGGACGGATTGGTCCTCACGAATTAATAACACCGACCATGTGTCCGTCGGAGAGAATCAAGAAAAATAGGGATTCGTTCATAATAATGTTTACTAGTAGGGCTAATTGTTCGGAACAACCGAAATGACAGACCATTCGGTGCGACGTCAAACATATATTCAAAATTACTGTCCAAGGGCTTATATTTGTAAAACATATAATTTCCAGGGATAATATGTCAAAATTGCAGTTATATAATATCCAGGGTCTATAATATAGGTTTTGGTACAAGGGTATTTGGGAGACCAAGTCGGGACAAAGGGTTTCACGACTAAAGAGACGACAATGAAATCTACTTTTATTCCTCGGGGGGAGGGGTGCAGGGAGACTCTCTCTAAACCCAATGTTTCTTGAGTTACCACCGAAGGATCCTGTCCAAGGGGTTTGAAAAGTCGGCGCTGGGGGTTTTTTATTGTCTAAGTCTCTGACCGCTGGGGGAACAGGTCGGCCCCCCCCCCTTCAAAATTAGTCCCGGACTTATGTTGGTAAAATTAACAAATAATAATACAAAAATACCAACCCAATAAATCATCCCGAGACCAGGATTTACTAAATAAAAAACAAAATTGTACACTTTCTAATCAAATTATGTAAATAAAATAAAACGATACCTTTAAGGGACTTATTTCCGCGGGCGCGGCTCCTGACCCAAAAAGCGACCCAAACTCAGCACCCACCCCAAAAACTCACTCTACGCCGTTGTCGTGGGAACAGTCAAATGAGAACGATCCAATCCAAACCGATAATAGTAAATATAAATAGAATACGTTGGTTTACCTATAGTCTTCACCATAGTTACTTTCCTTATACCCGTTGAGTGCGGTCTACGTCGTCCGGTGTCTAATTTCTTTCTTTAGGTCAATTGCAAATGGTTTGCATTGAACTAAACGGTTCCCCTGTTCCCTCCGACCGTTAGTTAATATAACTTCTCTTTAAACTGTTTTTCGGCCGAAGAGGAGTGTTTGAGGCCGAACAACGGCGTTCGTCTGGCGACTGATGCGATAGACGGAGCGAATTAGAGAGAGAGAGGGAAAGAGAGTTAACGAGGCTAATGGTTACACAAACCAACAAATCGTTATGACATCATGAAGTCGCCAAAATCTGATCAGCTCATTTTCAGACAGGTTTTTATATAAATGGATCAGGAGAAAAAGAGAGAGAATGTTTTTTCCTGGAACTTTCAGAATCTCTTTACACAGAGGAGACACATTTATTTATAATAAACATTAAAAAGTGGATTTTGCATAATAGGTGACCTTTAATGTTTATATGGAGACATATAAAAAGCTAATTTTAAATGTTTGATATGCAAGGTTGGTTCCAAGGAGGGACAAGAGAAACAATTACATTTTTGAGAGCAATATATTATTTTAAATTATATTTTGAAACCACTTTTTCTACAACTGTATTTACATGTAGTCTAAGGACAAGTATATTTAACACAACAAGTGTATGTTTTAGCATTGGCATGGATTATTTGAAATTTCATGGGTGGGATAGAAAATGTCCTCCAGTTCTGAAATGACTCATACACTATATGGGTTTCACTTAATATACTTTGATACATGCTTTTATGGTTATTTATTACTTTAAAGTGTGGTTCATTAAGAATAGCTACAGTACATATCGATAGGAGAGTTAGAAGCAAATCTTCTCTGAGGGTTAACAATCATGCATCCAACAACAACAACCTTTCCTGACAGTCATGTTGGCACATTTAATCACAGCACTATATAGATGATTCCTGCTATGTAGCCAAACTATAATAAAGGAGATAAAGATATGATTCATGGAATGGACAAAGTCACTTCAGTCTGGCAGCTTCAACACTCTTCCCCAAGGTAACTGAGGGCGCCTCGTCTCAGGCTTTCTCTCAGGTCTCAAGCCAAAGGAGGCTCTCCCAGACCAGCCACTCTTAGAATCCATTTTCATCTTTTTCCTCTTGCTTTCACTTCAGTCTGAAACTGCACCCTTGGCTTTTGTCAAGTCACCTCTTCAAACATTTCTTACATCCTCTTACTGCTTTTTTTTTGTTGATCAAGGTATTTTTATTGGTTTTAAGGACAAATTAAAATACAATGATCAGTACAATACAGTATTACATTCCAAATTACACAACCCCCCACCCGGTCCAACAGAGCAACACCCCTATTATGGTATTACCTTACCGATTAGTAATGACATCTCACTGTAAAAAAATATCCTAATTTTACAGGAAATAACTGTAAATGTTTATAGTAATTATCATGTTTTTTTAAATAACTTGCAAAATCCTATGGAAGCCTGTTTGCGCTACAGGAAAAAAAAAAATTCCTGTTAGTCAATATATATATATTTTTTAATGTATTCACTTTAAGAGAAGGGGATTTCAGAAACGAGTCTCGCAAGTTTGGCTCGAGGTAACATTAACAAAAGCTAACTGTTGTTAGACTATGTTCCCACATTACATTTGTGCCAACGCCTATAGTTGTAGTTTCTAAGATATTAGAAAGATGGTGTTCTGGAAGGGGTTTAGCATAGGATCAATTCCCTTGGGATGCTCTCAAGAACTGTAATTGTGTGTGTGTGTGTGTGTGTGTGTGTGTGTGTGTGTGTGTGTGTGTGTGTGTGTGTGTGTGTGTGTGTGTGTGTGTAACCCTGCTTCAAAGGTCCATCATACAAGATTTAGGGGATCTATTGGCAGCTGCTGATAATAACATCCATCATTATGGTTTACTAATTGTTATCTTTTTGTCCTCTAGGTTACACAGACCACTATTGCGGTAAGCATGTTGTAACTTCCGGTTGTTGTTGTTGTCATCTCCGGGTATCCCGTGTGCCTGTTCTGTTGCTGATAGCTTATTATCACCCGAAAATGACATCCGACTCATGAAAGATTTACGCCTCGGCCCGAAGAAGTAACCGATACTAAGGGCGGAGGTTGGATTGTTGTATGATTGGTAAATTTCGTACATAACCATGGTCATTTCCTCCATTCCCTTCATTGGTTTGTACTCCTAGTTCAATCTCGATCCTTTATCGTGGACCTCCCACCCCTTTCTCGGGTACCGATTCGATAGGTTCGAATCTCATCGATGGCAATCGTTTTGGGCTTTTCTCACATCCGTTGACACCTCAATGTCAGCGATTCTCTTCCTCTCAACACTCACGAATTCGACATCATTGCACCTAATGTGCAGTCCGTCAACGGCACTAGTTCTCAGAAAAATTTTGCTCAGCTAAT